AAAACCAGGGGCATTAAATCACCCAGATGCTCTGCACACTTACACGTTTCTGAGGTTAGACAGCTGGAGTGAACTGTGTTAGTAGTTTACTGAAACATATACATACCTAGTATTATACTCAGCAAATGTCATTCTGAGAATATTGACAAACCCGATGCTGTTTCAAAATGATGAGACTAGTTTCAGGACTATTTCAGACACACACTGATCCATAAAACTACACACAGCACCAGGTCAGTGAGTTAAACTACAACAATATCGGTTCATCAAATTGTATTATGAGATATATAGACAGTATTATGAAGGCACGGCCATTGTAAACAAAAGGCAAAGTGATTTTCTGACAATGTTCTTAGTGTAAAACACGATTCAAGCTTGTAATTCAATTACATTTAGGCACTTTTAACAGTTTACCACTTATTTCCATTGAACTGCTCTGCTGGCTTCTGAGTCCGTGTTCAGTAGTCAGGTAGTCTGCTACTGACGTAATAAAGGACTTGGATATCTAAGTAATCATTAGCATCTCATTTACAGCAGTTCACTCTGCTGTACAGACACTAGGTGCATTACAGTCAGACTCACCCCGTGAGTTTACACTTGTTAATTTGGTTAGTTGTGCAGGTGTGAGGCACAGGTCTGTTTGACACCACTGGTTATCAGCAGCAAGCCTCATGCAACAGCTGGTGAGCCAGTACTGCGACAAAACCTAAACAATGAGGACAAAGAAACACAAAGCAGCTCTGCAAAAAAGTGACTGAAAAGCATAAGTCAGGGAACAGAAATGACACAAAACAGGCTATTGTCAGCGGCAGATGAATCTACATTTGAACAAAAGAGGAGCTCGGTTACACCGAAACACTGATGTTCAGTGAGCTCCTATCATTGTCGTCATCCTCGTGTGCTGAGCTTGTGTACATGTGGCTGCAGCTGAATACATCTCCAACACTTCGGGTCGAGCAGTATCTGTAAAAGCTGCCCGGGAGAATGGGACTCCTCATGAACAGCCTGCTGAATATTCAGGTCGTTGTTCACGCTGGTGGGGTGGACCCAGGTAAAGGACTGTAATGAACTGCTAAACAGAGAGGACCACAGCAGGAGACAGAGACGTGCAGACAGACAGAGGACTTCGAGCTTTCACTTATCTAAAGTATGTGTTTTACAGCGCTGCAGCATCACACATCTGTGTCTAATATTTTATACATGAAGTGTGATTAATGGTAATGTTGTTTGGAAGAAGCTCACCTCCTCAGACACTGCTCTGCACTGCTCTCATGCACGGAGTGGCTGCTGTGTTGGACCATAGTGCCCCCAGGTGGACACACAGAGAACATCACAGGAGTGACAGGCAAATCATCACAATACATTATAACAGTCACAGTTATTATAGTGATTTATCTCCTTGTCATTTCATCTGTCAACTAGCGCAGACAGCGGTGACAGATGACAGGCCAAACCACCACCCAGTCCCCAGCAGGGCCTCGTCAGGCCCGTGTCTCCAGAGCAGCGTCAGGTCTCCTCTGTCAGAGGAGGAAACCTCCTCCTTCCAAACCAGATCCCCTCACTGGGTCCAACCCACTGTGTCGTCCTCATGAAGCCATTCAGTGACCTAGAGCTGCAGCCATGAGTCAGTTCACTGGTAGAAAATGACCCGGCAGCTATTTAGAAGCAACAGTCGCCGACATGTTCTAGTTCCACCTTCTTTAATGTGAGGAGCTGATGCTTTTCTTTGTCAGACATGATTATCAGCCGAGTCTCTGTGGGTCTGTTGGTTGGACACAACGAAACGTGTGAAGATGCCACCTTTGTTTCTGAAGAGTCACAGTGGGACTTTTTCCCACTGTCTGACATTCTGCGGATAAACAGATAAATCAGATCATGGATGGTGATCTGATTGATCAGTATCCCTGCTGGTTGGGTTTCTGCTCTGTCGATCAGGTCATTTGTCAAACATCTGGACATTTTACATGCACACCAGTCCCAGTTAGGACATCTGGGAAATCACTCCTGACTGGTCATAATTTTCCCAATGATGCATTTTCATTTCTACTCTTAATACCAGAACTGAGCTCATGTTATCCACATTGTTAACTCAACTCCAGAGCTGCAGAATTGTCCTGACTGGTCGGGAGCTGCCAGGAGATTCACACAGGGATGCCAGCAGATTCTGTGGGAGGACAGATGTTTTGACATTGAGCTCATTATAAGATACAGTTTGGACTTTTTGCGACAGAGTTGGTGTCTGCACAGAGGCCAGGTTCACTGCAACGTCACTTTTTTCCAGCAGTGAAATTTGGGTCTGTCATCGTCTACAGTTTCAGCCATAATAAATTAGCACCACAGATCATGTACAGGCTCATTAAAAATAAGTTACTTTTATGTAAATCGCTGGTTTGCCTGGATCAGTTTGTTGGGGTGTTCAGTGGCACACAGAGACCCAAACCGTTCAGTTGAGATCCCGTCCTTTTGCTCACAGCACTACAAAACCTGGCCTGTTTGTTTTAATGTAAAAGCTTTATATTGACTCATGCATATGTAGCCCATAGGTCATTAAACTATGATACATCAACAGATAACTTCAATGTTCTAATTTTAAATCAACTTTATATAAACAATCTCTATAAATTAATAAACTGAGTGTAATTTGCATGTCGACAAAGTTGAAATGTCAAGTTTAAAGTGACAATGTGAAATTCCAACTTCATTGTTTCAGCTTTATTCTCAACACGCAGTTATAAATAGTCCTCCTCTCATTTTATTATTTTAGCTAACGTGTCACTATTTTGTACAGCGCCCCCAGGAGTCTCTGCACCGACCAGCGGGGTTCACGCTGCGGTGCAAGACCCTTGTTTTCTCGAGATAAAGTCAACACTCCTGCGCTTCACCTGAGGATTTAGCTGCTGGATAATTAGTCCTCTGAGGTCAGCGTTCAGGGAAAACGTCGGTGTGAGGGAGCGGAGGAGAAGCAGCAGAATCACAGCAACATGCACTGACGAACAAGAGAAGAACCGGATCATATGCAGAGTGACAGAACATGCCCTGTTTAGCATCATCAGCAGTGTGCAGACGCTCTAGTAGCTGCAAGCTTTTATTAACATAGCAGTTAGCACATCTCCTGTGGACATGCAGATGTACAAACAGATGGTGAACGACAAAATAGACAGCTGTAAGGCCACAAAATATATTGTGCGACAGGAAAAGTATAAATTGTTGACAAGCGCATTCAAATTAAATTGAATTGTAAATTAAGTGTTTTTTTTTTTTTGCCTGAGTAAAACATTTGAAAAAAATAATTTTGGACTCTGGTACAGTAGGTGATGGAAACTCGAGTTACAGTATTGTTCAAAATAATAGCAGTACAATGTGACTAACCAGAATAATCCAGGTTTTTAGTATATTTTTTATTGCTTCATGGCAAACAAGTTACCAGTAGGTGCAGTAGATTCTCAGAAAGCAAACAAGACCCAGCATTCATGATATGCACGCTCTTAAGGCTGTGCAATTGGGCAATTAGTTGAAAGGGGTGTGTTCAAAAAAATAGCAGTGTGGCATTCAATCAGTGAGGTCATCAATTTTGTGAAATAACAGGTGTGAATCAGGTGGCCCCTATTTAAGGATGAAGCCAGCACTTGTTAAACATGCATTTGAAAGCCTGAGGAAAATGCGTCGTTCAAGACATTGTTCAGAAGAACAGCGTACTTTGATTAAAAAGTTGATTGGAGAGGGGAAAACCTATAAAGAGGTGCAAAAAATTATAGGCTGTTCAGCTAAAATGATCTCCAATGCCTGAAAATGGAGAGCAAAACCAGAGAGACGTGGAAGAAAACGGAAAACAACCATCAAAAGGGATCGAAGAATAACCAGAATGGCAAAGGCCCAGCCAATGATCAGCTCCAGGATGATCAAAGACAGTCTGGAGTTACCTGTAAGTACTGTGACAGTTAGAAGACGTCTGTGTGAAGCTAATCTATTTTCAAGAATCCCCCGCAAAGTCCCTCTGTTAAAAAAAAAGGCACGTGCAGAAGAGGTTACAATTTGCCAAAGAACACATCAACTGGCCTAAAGAGAAATGGAGAAACATTTTGTGGACTGATGAGAGTAAAATTGTTCTTTTTGGGTCCAAGGGCCACAGACAGTTTGTGAGACGACCCCCAAACTCTGAATTCAAGCCACAGTACACAGTGAAGACAGTGAAGCATGGTGGTGCAAGCATCATGATATGGGCATGTTTCTCCTACTATGGTGTTGGGCCTATTTATCGCATACCAGGGATCATGGATCAGTTTGCATATGTCAAAATACTTGATGAGGTCATGTTGCCTTATGCTGAAGAGGACATGCCCTTGAAATGGTTGTTTCAACAAGACAATGACCCCAAACACACTAGTAAACGAGCAAAGTCTTGGTTCCAAACCAACAAAATTAATGTTATGGAGTGGCCAGCCCAATCCCCGGACCTTAATCCAATCGAGAACTTGTGGGGTGATATCAAAAATGCTGTTTCTGAAGCAAAACCAAGAAATGTAAATGAATTGTGGAATGTTGTTAAAGAATCATGGAGTGGAATAACAGCTGAAAGGTGCCACAAGTTGGTTGACTCCATGCCACACAGATGTGAAGCAGTTATAAAAAACTGTGGTCATACAACTAAATATTAGTTTAGTGATTCACAGGATTGCTAAATCCTAGAAACAAAAACATTTGTACAACATAGTTTTGTGTTTGTACAGTCAACGGCAGACACTGCTATTTTTTTGAACACACCCCTTTCAACTAATTGCCCAGTTGCACAGCCTTAAGAGCGTGCATATCATGAATGCTGGGTCTTGTTTGCTTTCTGAGAATCTACTGCACCTACTGGTAACTTGTTTGCCATGTAGCAATAAAAAATATACTAAAAACCTGGATTATTCTGGTTAGTCACATTGTACTGCTATTATTTTGAACAATACTGTACATCCATAATGATTTTAAAAAATAAACAAACAATAAAATAACTCAGATCCCAGTTACAGTTCTTTATTAAAATAAAAATGTATAAAGATGAGTTTGAAAACCAACAGTAAACATAAACTTTGCTGGTGTGTGTTTAGAGACAAGCACAGTTTTCATATTGTTTGAGCAGTTTGATCAAACCACATGTACACAGAATACATGCTGCACATTCCCCAGACCATAACACAGTGTTGGTTTCATTCAGGCAAAATTTGGTTTGAATTCTGTTTAGCAAACATCAGTTTGCAGAAACTGAAGTCCTGCTACACACGGACAAAAAATAAATAAATAAATAAAAACCGGCGCATTGTTACAGACAGTGACCTTTGCTTTTGTCTACACTGAACAAAGCTTTAGTAAAGAAAACTCAGATCACTGCTGGCTTTGTAAAATGACTGGCATGAATGCAAAAGTATGTGTGATCTACAGCAAACCAGCTACAACCTGAAAACAACAATGCAAACAGTTTTGGTCTCAGAACACTAAGCCAGTCACAAACACACTCGATTTAGTTTGGTCAGTTTGTTCCTCTGAGCTTAAACCCAGGTCTTCAGCAGCAGACACACACTGTGTCGTCATACGGTCGCACACTGGTCATCATTCAGTGTAGAAACAGCTCCTCGGGCTGAGAGGATGCAAACTGGGATGTAAAACAACAAATGTGGCTGCTTCAGAAAGTTTCACACCTGGTCACTTTTTGCACTTTATTGTGCTGTGAATGGATAACATTGCTATTTTTACCCAAACAACCTACATTTAATAACCTTTACCAACAATGTAAAAACAGTTTTAGAATTAGTTTTGCAAACATATTAAAAGTAAAAGGTGAGTTTTCCGTTGGGCCTCCAGGTTTAAGCACTGGGACACAACCTTAAATGAATCTTTGCACCATACATTTAGTGGTAATTTGTAAGTCAACTGTGACATTTGACTGCGAAGGGAAACGTGTCCTTCTGGTAAGAAAGGCATCCAATCATAAACTGGTGTTGACTGTTGAGGTTTAGCATTTTAATTCCTCTATTATTATCATTATTATTATGTTCGCATCTGTGTTTTCTGCTTCCACTTCCTGTAAGATAAATGTCCTCTTAGAGATGATAAAACTGAAAGTCAGAGTAAAACACTGAATAATGAACAGTTTGTGTCACTCAGACACTCTGTGTTGTCTGGCTGCTTCATAGACTCCAGTTTCAGCAGAGAGGAAATCTGAACCAGTTTAACCACAAATGCAACAAGCTCAACAGACGTTTCTGTTCTTACATCCAGGCGCCGCAGACGGCAGCCAAGCAGGGGCTGCTAAAAACAAGGATGGAAAGGTTTTTTTCCAATTAAACAAAAGCAAAATCACCTATTTGACTGTTAGGCCTCTATTTTGACGGCGGTAAACCTGAGCTGCTGGCTCAGTACTATACTATTCAAGTCGGTGATTAGTGGGGAAGGTTAAACGACATTTGATAAGGTTAACCCAGTCATTCATTACCGGGACTCCACAACAGCAAATAAAAACTGATCCAAAAAACAAAATTGATTTAATTCACAGCACAAAGTGAAAAAGAAATGTCACCTGTCGCCAAAGACTGGGTTTGGGACAAAACAGGACATTTGCTGACTTGATCTTGGGCTCAAAGAAATTTTGACTGGCTTTAAATCTTCCTTCTCATACAGGTCAGATGTTTTTTGGTGTACTCCCTTTCATTTCACACTCTCTCAGAGTCATAACTATGACAATGAGAGCATGCAAATATGATAAAAAGTCCCTCTTCACAGAGTAACTGCAGAGCCTAGCTGAAAATCCTCATGTTTTTAAGTTTTCTCCAGTATCAAATAATGCAGTGATATTCGCCTGTACATCCAGGGACACACTGCAAACAAGCTGGTAATACCTAATTCAGCACAGTGTTAATAGTGCCAATTTGGAAAAATGTCAGCAAATACATGGAGAAGCTGTAGCCATAGATGTTTTGAGGACAACTGGATCCCACATTACAAGACGGTGCCCATGTTCATTTGTGTAAAAGTTGCTCAGTGGCACATATTCTGAAAAAAATTCCTGTTGGCTCCCCACACACACAAATGGGATAAAATAAAAATGTCCTCTGTCCTACGTGTCTGTTTGGGGGTGCGACTGTTAGCTTTGTCTGGTGGGGGACAGCATCAGACTGTGGAAACCACTGACCTATGGGCAACCGGCACCGTCGTCAGCAGCTCCAGTAAAATGTAACCACACTTTGCAACATTTCATTGAACCCACAAAGTCTCTGGTCTCTAGTTACACCACCGCTCTACCCTGTGTGTCTGTTACACTGCAGCTCATTACTTATTCAGATCTGATCCCAATCAAAACAGGGTTTTGGGTGGTTTCCCATCTGCAGCTATTGTGAAATGTCACACTGTCAGATGTGACTATGACCAAACAGGTGCTGACTTATGTTGACTGAAGCAGAGGGCAGGGCTGGGAAGTGAAACTAGAGACCCACACCGTCGACACTGTTGATGTTGGTCTGAACAGGAGACGTGCTGACAATAAAACAACACTGAGTAACGCCAGCCTCATCCGTTACGTCCTAGATAAAGAAAATATGGAACATTTAAATTAGCGCTACAGAGAGGGTGAGTGAAATCATGCTGTCCTGTCCGATTAGAAAACACTTCTCTTTCCACCTTCAGGGAAAAAGAAAACAGTAACTAGGACAATCTGAAGGTGCAGCAGAGACATCTATTCATGCATGTTAAAGAACAGCGGCCACATTTATGAGTAATTGAATTTAGCATCTGCCATCTTACAATGGAATTTTCTCTCTTTGTGGGCATTTGTCTTCTCTGCAGTCATTTTATGTCTCTGAAGGTGTTTTGCATCTCTCTGAGGTAATGTTGTGTCTCTTGGTCACTTTACAGCCATTTCTGAAGCTGCCTGAACTAGCAGATGTACTTTTTTTCCATATCTGACGTTCGATATCTAAACAATCAAAGTTGCTAAGTTTCAGTGGGGCTGACTGTTTCCTTAAGACTTCTGTCCTAGAGCTGCACAGTATGTTCAAGCTCACCTGATTTATTTTGTGTTAAAGCTGATGAAGTTTAGTCATGAAATGCCGTCAAACTAGAGGCCTGACTCTTTACAAAAAAAGTGCACAAGACTTACAGCATCAGTCAGAGCAACAAAGTCCAGGTAGGACACAGAAACCTGGGTCTCTGTCCTCCATCCGTCTCTTTCAGCTGATGATGAAGACTCTCGGCCCCTCTTCTCTCATGGGGGGAAGGCTGTCAATCACTATGTTGTCCATCAGTCCGTATTTATCCTCTTTTTTGTTGCTCTCTCCTCTTCCTGCTCGTTCGTTGGCTGACGTCTCCTCTGGAAACCTCTCCCTTTCCACCGGCTGAGACAGTTGACTGGTCAGCTGCGCCATCGTCATCTGCATTAAGAGACATCAAATTTATTCTTATATGAACTGGCTTTATGTGTACATATATTTTGACCTGCTGATAAAAAGGATTCTTCCAAACCAAAGTTCAGACCACCTGATGGCCGCCTGTGGTGGGAGCCTGTTCAACGTCTATCACCAGAAACTAAATATTAGCTACAAAAAACAACATGGAGGGGGGGGGGGCCACTGACCTGCACTTTGGGGCCACTGACCTGCACTTCTCTGAACAGGTGCAGCATGGTCACACCCACCACGATGACCAGGAAGGACCCCAGCGTCGTGAGCACGTCCACGACCGACATGCTCCTCCACTCCTGGAAGAGGATGATGGAGGTGGACAGAACCACGGAGGTGAAGAGGACGTAGTAGATGGGGTAAACGAGCAGCGTGTTGAAGGTGTCCAGAGACTTGTTCAGGTAGTTCACCTGCAGGCAAAGACACACAGGTGAGATTACTGGTTGTATGACATGTAAAAAAAAAAAAAAACTCCAGAAATGTTTCTATCTTCAAATTCATTCTCCAGCTTCATTCTGTAACATTCTCCCTGAAAGAAACGTTCATGGGAGGAACAATCACCTCTTTACTGTCTGAGGTCAAAGGAGCTGAAAATGTTATTACACACACACACACTGTAAAGGACAACATTACTGATACCAACTAACCCGAGGCATTTTTAAGTTCAAACTTGGTAAAAAGATTAGTTTTAGCATTAGCTAACCAGGCTAACACCTGGAAAATAACTTCCTATTCTTAATTACACAATATTTATTAGAACAGTTATATAAAAACATTTATTATTATAAACACTTAGGTATAAGTCTCCCTAAGGCAAAGTGTTGTCCTGGAGGCGAAGTTTCCACAACCTGACAACCCAAAAGTTGCCTTATCTGAACCTGGTACCAATAATTCACTACTGACAAAGGAGAAAATGTGAGCGATGTCCCTTCACTTCCCATTTTAGCATCTTTCAGCTCCCTTTACTCGGTTTCACTCTCATAGCATCAGAGGTAAACAGGGACGTGTTCAGCTGTACAGATGCAGACATAACAGCCTACCTGTGTTATCACCGATATGATGAGGGTTGCCAGCAGGATCCAGGTGAGAGGATTAGCAAGCACAGAAACATCATAAACCACTAGATGGAGAGAAGACAAAGGAGATGGTAATGAAAGCTGACAACACACCTGCTCTGTTGTTTCCAGGTGGGAGATGTGGAAAACGTCTGTATGCTCATATTTAAAGCCCAAATAAAAACAAAGTTAAAAACAAAATAACAAGAAACTGAGACAGGAAGATGACAGATATGACAACATCACTGCTGAAATCCCACCCGGTCCTCCCTCTGGCTCTGCGTTTTGTATCCATTAGTTTTGTATTATTAAAAAGGCTGAAAAGAGGCTTTTCACCTGCCTCAGAATAAGGAACACACAAGTATGGTGTAAAATTTGTGTCAATAATGGGGACAAATGTTTGTGATGTATAAATTAAATCATTTACAAATGTGTGTGAAGACTTATGTTTGTCCACAAATACAAGCAGAATACTGTCAGAAAATCAATGGGCATGGATTTCAGTGATGATTTCCACCACATTAACATCAGTATTTAAATGCAAAAGAGTGACAGGAGCATATTTCTTCATCTTTCATAGTTCTGTGTGCTCCATTTAAATGCCTGTGGAAAACGTGGATGCTCAGATTTTTGTTATTTTTTTTAGTTTCGCTTATTTGGTTTATTTGACAGGGACAGCACTCATTAATCAAGAGAAAACGTGTAAATGGGCCATGGTTAACCAACAAGGCTAATTCTCATCTGTTGTCCCTGGCCGCATTTTAAAATGCGTCCTAAAAACAAGATAACACTAATAGCACAACACAACAACATGAACATAGCAATTAAAACTAATATTATAATAAGCAAATAATAATCATAATATTAAACACCATAAAGGCATCTGCCGTATTAATCTGATTGTTCATGGGTCACAGTTTTTGTTGACAAGTGAAAGAACAACAAGTGGTGACGTCTGTGATGTGTCAACACACTCCATTAGATCCTGTCACGGAGAACGCCGACCAACTAAAAGCACTTCCTCAAATGACGTGATCTTCTCTGCTGGTTCCTGGAAACATGAGCAGTGGCTCTTTGTGATAAATGCGTCAGGGGAAGCTTACTGTGTGAAATGTTAAAAGTCAAACAAACCTTACACAACTTACCCAAATCAGGAGTTTACATTCAAATTTAACCAATATGAAAACTATTTGGTTTCTGATCCAAAACTTTCACATTTATATAAAATTTCAAGTAGCTTCAATGTACCTTGTGCCAACCATACTCAAAATATGGAGTTATCATTGTGTTTAGATGCAGCATATTTTTCATGTGTAATTGGGTATAAGCAAACTGATTCGGGATTAGCAGTGGTTGGCTTTGTGTAATTATGTGTGTGTGTGTTGATGTGATTTGTTCTGCATGTTTGAAAGAATAAATCAAATCAAATTTCTACGTGAATGGCAGTAAGACAATAATTATTACAACTGATCTGCAGAGCAGATGTGTGTGCTGTTGCAGCACACACATATTCGATTTCAGCTGAACTTCAGTTGGTTTTAAATCACATCTCACCACTTCCTCAACTGAGCCTGAAATACATAAGCTTCTGTTTAAGTTTTTTACTTTATAAAATATTTAAAATGAGTATAAAACCATGCAGATGTGTGTTGTCTGTCTCACCGGTGTTGAGGACAATGGCGAGACCTTTCACCGAGGAGACGGTGAAGGCGCCAAGCAGTGAGCAGATGCCGATGTAGATGAGGATGTTGGATCTACCACAACGAGGGCAGAAGTACAGTATGAGAACTGCACACAACACCAACACTGCCACCGCGTACACCAGGAAACCTAACACACAACTCAGAGTCATTATTGAAAACACACATATAAACAAGTACATAAACAATCTAGGTTCCCTTTTCATGTACTTCTACAACAGTGAAGTTTTCTAGGGCAAGTCGAGTGTCTCTTTGTTGATCATTATCATTCTGTGGTTTCTGGTAGATATTATCGCACTGATGTGTGTATAAGTGGTCATTTTACTGGTAAGGTTGTTTTTAATAACTTATCGGATGATTTAAAAAAGGGACGTATTTCAGCTTTGACTGGTGGTCTGATACATCACTAAACTCTGTCACTATTGCACAGAATTTGGTTGCAATTTGCCAAGATGTCCGCCGCTGTAATCACAAAACTTTGGCTTCAATTTTGCACAGTGGAGGGAAGAGGCAACGTGTCGCCCATATTTATGTACAAAACAATCTAGGTTCCCTTTTCATGTACTTCTACAACAGTGAAGTTTTCTAGGGCAAGTCGAGTGTCTCTTTGTTGATCATTATCATTCTGTGGTTTCGGGTAGATATTATCGCACTGATGTGTGTATAAGTGGTCATTTTACTGGTAAGGTTGCTTTTAATAACTTATCGGATGATTTAAAAAAGGGACGTATTTCAGCTTTGACTGGTGGTCTGATACATCACTAAACTCTGTCACTATTGCACAGAATTTGGTTGCAATTTGCCAAGATGTCCGCCGCTGTAATCACAAAACTTTGGCTTCAATTTTGCACAGTGGAGGGAAGAGGCAACGTGTCGCCCATATTTATGTACAGTCTGTGGTCTGTACATTAAATATGATGCAGTAGCTATTAGCTTGTTAGCTTAGTTTAGCATAAAGGCTGTAAACAGGGGAAACAGAACACCTTGTCTTAGCAACCTGATCTGGCCACTACACATTACTTCACAGCCCAGCACCATTCCTAAGGGCTCGCCATGCTCTCACCTGGCTCCAGCAACTTGTTAGTCATGTCCTTTAGTGATGTCACTTCCTTTTCCTCTGGGGCGTGGATAACCAACAGGATGCTTCCCAGCACACACAGAACGCAGCCGAGTTTCCCGATGACGTTCAAAACCTCCCCCAGCAGGTAGGAGGACAGAACTGCACTAAAAGACACAAACACAGGGACGCATTTAACCCATGTGTGTTTGTCTCTCTGACCTTTAACTGGTTTAGAGTTTACAGTGAAGCTTTTCCAGTACCTCTGTGCTGTTAAAATGTAGCTAAGAGTGAAACCTGAATGTACCACTACCTGATGAGGACGCTCAGGGCGCCCAGTGGGGTCACCAGTGTGGCCGGAGCAAACATGTAGGCAACAAAGTTACAAGCCTCTCCTGCTCCCACTGCAGAGAGAAAGCATCAGATGAAAACTGAACCCTATGCAAACAGGAAAACATCACATCTGTAAACTCATCTAGAAAACAACTATTAAATCAGAAAAAAATATCAGTATGTTTGTTTATCCAGAGACAGCTCCAGGGTATGCTTTCCCTAGCTTAGCACAAAAACTAGAGGCAGAAACTGAGCAAGCTCTATCAAAAATAAAAAAAATAAAAAAAACACACCTTACACATTCTTAGTGCACGAACAAATGTAGCTTCACACTGGGGCCAATATATATATATGAATACACTCTATATACGACAATGTTGGTCCACCACTTTGGTCCAGACCAATGGACAGTCTGATGGCAAACAGGAATGAGGCCGCTGTGACTCGATTGCCCCCCGGTGACTGGTTGCAGTGCATGTCATAAACCCCGCCCCCTCCATGTTAGTGGCTGGGACATGAGCCAAATTAAAAATCCAAATTGTTTGTGAAACATAATAAAACTGTGAAAAAGTAACATTATAACATCCCAAAGCCCAAAGTGATAGATAGATACCGTTTTTTTTTTAATTCAGCCAAACACAAAAATATTCTGTTTCCTATTACATAAGACTGGTAAAAGATGTTAGAAAAACACATTTTGGAATATTACTTTAAAAATAAAATTATTAATCATTTATCAAAAAGTGCCAGTTAATGTTTGGTTGACTACTCAAAGCTCTACTGATACATCTTTTCATGTGGCTCTGGGTAACTTAGCAAACAAGACCATCTCCTAAAACCAGTTATACTTAAAGAAACAGCTCAGATCACTTACTGGTCAACAGGCCTCCCCACCACAGCCAGTCCTTCAGGTAGCCATGACCTCCATCACCTACACACAAATGCATTCAGCGTCACAGAAATCTGTTATGACATAAATTCATCCTAATCAAAGCCAGACTTTCATATCTCAGGGCAACAGTGTGAATAATACTACAGCGTACTAATACATCTACAAAATTAGACAACTAGGATTGATGACATTGGTTCTCTCTCGTCTCTCAGTGACCCAGGGATCAGCTTCCATGGGCCACTGTCAGCTTACCAGTGGTTTGTAGGTGCCGTTTCCTGTAAAGCAGATGTACTCTTGTCAAGAAAAAAATAAAAAATAAAAAACACTAGGCCTCACACTCTGTGTAGCTGTGTAACTTTGAGCATTTATATGGGGAGTAGGGACTAGGCAGTGGTCCACTGTTGCTCCCTGGTGTTGCAATGAAGGAAGGCAGGAGACCGGGATAACGTTTTTCTTTCCCAGAGAGGAAAAACTGTGATGTAGCACCAAAGCAGCAGGTAGAAGTGCAGTGGGTTGGAAAAAGCTTGACAAAAAGTGGAGAAAATGTCAAGGATAAAAGAGATTAAAAACAGTTGGAAAGAAGAGCAGGTGATGCCCCGGTGAGTGAGCTGCTGGTTGCTGGGATTTGAATAAACCTTTACACAGAAAGTAATAACCAGATGAAACTAAAAAAGGTGTGAGTATGAGTTTGTTTTGTACCATTGAAAACTATAGTAGCTAACATTGCTGCAGGCCAGAAGCAGATGAGGGCTGATTTTCTCCCTGTTCGTTTCTGTTTCTCGTAAACCAACTGATAAAATTGGCAGATGAAAGTCAGTTACAGGTTCGTGTGCTGCTAAAATGGACATTACGGAGATGTTCACTACCACTGTAAAGTTTCAGGTCACCCCTGTGTGTCTAGCTGTGCCCAGTGTGATCTGAACACACCTGTGTCCTTCTCTCTACAACTGAAACCAAACACTGCTAAGACAGACAGCACTGTCGGCTGCTCTGCTTTCAGTCTGGACCCTGTGCTGCCAGCCTATCACCTGTTCCTTCCTCCTTCACAGCCTGGAGCTGTTTGTGGCTCCTCCTCCCGCCACCAAAGGCTCTGACTTGGTTCATGGCCTTTTTCCACATGAAGCTTCAGAGGGAGCAGTAACACAGTCTGATCCAACGTTGCCTTTATAGAGACAGAATCTGTTGGTGTCAGTCACCAACTACAGTCGGGACCTGTAGGAACTGCTGGTATTAGGTTTCAAGGCTTCATTTAAAGTAAAAAGACTGTTGTTCTTATGAACAAAAAAAGGAATGTAAGGCCAAAAGTAAAAAGACTGTTGTTCTTATGAAGAAAAGAGGGAAGTAAGGCCAAAAAAAAGGGAAACCAACAATACGTTACTAAACAAAAACAGTATTCAATGTAGTTATGAGTCATTTAGGAAAAGGATTAGATATTGCAGTGCTTCCACCGTAGGGCAGGTCTAGACCTGCTGACCAGGTGCATCGGCCTAGTCTGGGGTTACTTCTCACCCAGCCTTTCCCACCCCTTGTGTCATCGCTCAGGATCATAACAATCCCTTTGTTTCAGTTCATTTCCTTGCTCTGGTTTGAACCTTGCTCGAGAGGACTCACCTGCTCTGGTGTGTCCGGTGCTGGCCAATCGGAGCAGAGCTTTCTTCTTGAGAATGACGCTCCCACCAATCATAAAGGACGACAGCAGTGCCAGAGCCAGGCCCAGCCACAGGTTGTAGGTGGTGTTAGTCTGTACATCTGGAGACAAACAGTCACACCACATAGCACTTTTATAATATTTGCTTCTATAGCTATAATCACAACACAATGTGCTTTACATAAAAGCAAAAATAAAAAAATCTGGGTAAAATGAAAACGAAAAGACAAAGTAAAAGAACTGAACTGGTAAAAACACTTCAGACCAGACCGTGTTAATAAATGGAATAACTACGAGTTCAATTTCATCTCCTTTAAAATTTATTAATTGGTAAATCTAATGTTGTTTATTAATGGAAACGGAAATCAAAAGGTGGCAGCGTGCTCCAAACGTCTGGTGACCTAAATACGATCTCCCCTCCACATTTAATGAGTCATGGGATCCTCTGTTCTTTCACCCACTCAAATACAAATCTGACACCACAAATTTAACATCACCTCACTGAAACTCATCTGAACTGGTCTGATTACTTCCTGACACCTGCAAACAGAGAACTGTGTAAAGAAGGCCTCACTGTTTTATTTAAAACAGCCTGCTGAAGGAAAGACGACATGCTGCTGCCCTGGCCTGCACCCCCACCCCACCCCAGCTGAAACGTAGCTTCAGGAACACGTCCCCCAGGACGACGACTAACAATGGGAACAAAAGCAGAAGCAGAGACACTAGAAACTTGTGAAATTCCTACAGGTGAAAAGATCTGATAGGATCATTCACCCCTGTTGAAACGTCTGTGAACATCAGGTAAGTAACAGTGATGTCAGACATGTTTGAAGAGTAAATGCTGTTCGTCCACTGACAAAATGCCCCTGCTCTGTATTTCTCTCTGGTGTTTAAAAACAAAATGCATGGATTTTATGTTCAGTAATGATTCCAATAATCAATAAACAGCAACCGTTCACTGGTTCCAACTTCTCACCTTTGACTTTAGGTTTGTTTTTCTCTCTTTGGTTCTGTTTTCCGTTTCACTGTTTTCTCACATTTTACAGTCAATTAATCAAGAAAACAACCATCAGGTGTTGTCTGCATTTTGACAGTCTTTGTTCAGTCAAAAAAGTGAAGAATTCAACACATTCTCAGGTTCAAGAAGACGACTGGACTGTGTGAGATCTTCTGCTTGACCTTTCCTACACGGAACGATTGATTAAAAATCAGATGAATCAGTAATGAAAATAATTATTAGCTGCAGCCTTAATCTTTGGAGCGTTTCTGTATGAACATGTCTTCTGTTTCTAAGTTTAGGATTTAGTGTGACTTATTTTAAATAGACAGTTCAGTTTAGCATTGCTTTGGCTCAGGTACAAAGAGCCGCTGCACTCACATCAGCACAAGCCTCAGTGCAGCTTGCGTTTCTCCGTATCCAACCACCATGACCCCAGCGAGTTATAACATCACTGCTGGTTCCTTCAGCTTCACTGTCAGATTTCTGATACTGTACATGTACTGTGTGATGCATCGCCTAATGTGATACAGATGATCTGAGGTGAAATTTTGAGGCCAAACATAGAGCATAAGAGTTTTGTAAACTGAGCCAAAGCAACTGCAAAACACAGAAATCCGTTCTAAGTGAACATGTAAACGTCAGAGTGCAGCCTCCTGAATAAGCACAGACCCACAGGGAGCATCAGCGTGGATGTGTGGGAAGTGTGCAGTGTTGGGAGGTTTACCTGTGGTGTTAGTGCTGCTGTTCAGGAATGTGGACGACGGTGTCAGACCCTCGGTGACCACACACACCGCAGACTCAGAGCCACACCACAGCCTCAGCACAGACCCTGCAGAGAAACAGGCAGTGTTTCAACCATTTACTCTGGTTTCCCGTTTCTCACAGTCGCCTGAGCTAGAGGAGGTGTGTGGGGAGAGGGAAGTCTGGGAGGCTCTGCTCGGGCTACTGCCCCGCGACCCGGTCTCGGATGAAGTGGATGGATGGACATTGTATAGAACAAATTAACCAAATGAGTTAGACAACAAAAACTAAAGACTCAGTGTAAAACTGCAGTTTCAGATGATACTGGGACATAAACATGTTTGCCGAGTGAGTTTCAGCTCTTTCAGATTAAACATTTGCTTTGTATGACTGGTGCAGGGTTGTGCAAGACAGGTTCAACCGCTGTGGTCACTAGAATAATATGAAGGTGTTAGCATAACCAGGCAGAGTAGTTCAATATTTACACTGTCAACAGAGATGCCTCAGTGCACACTGGCTGCGATAACACGCTGTGCAGTGGTCCAGGTGACTTAACGAGAAGCGACAAGGAAAAGTCAGGTCTCTGCTGGAGGCGGAACAAGCTTCTGTACCTTAGACGCTAAATTATTCAGAAGCAAAACCATGGAGGTGAAGGTCAGAGGCAGAGGCTGACTGATACTCTGGAGGTTTTGTCAGTCAGGGGCCAAGACCAGACACTACCCAGCCTCCATGTGTCTGAAGAACAAGCAGCTGCAGCACCTTTACCTGCCTGACAGTTCTTTAAGCCTTCTGACACATCGTGCCACAGGTCATTACTGAATTTGCTCCATGTTTTGCACACTAGCAAACAGGAAATACTCATATTCACTGCTAATTATTATTGGTAGTTTTTTTTTCTGCTTTACTAGGTGATACTTCCAGTGCATGCTGGGAAATACAGCTGGTGACAGCTGACAGGACAAACCCTCACCCAGCTCCCAGCAGGGCCTAGTCAGGGCCATTTTCCCAGTGTCTGTCTCTGTGCGACAGTCCACCTGTCCAGGTGTTCCAGACAGGTGATTCTGCCTTTAACAGGAAAACTCCTGCCAATATGACCTTGACCCAAACACAGTGTAGACAGGGAACGCTGCCACCAGAAAATCAGTGGTTTTATATCAGATGCCCTTTGGTGGCAAATCTGGAAAATAACTCCAAGGACTGGGCTGCATGTGGACAGGGTGTGAGGCAGGGTGTCCGTGCCTTGTTGGACTAAACAGCCAAGAGATCATCTCAGTCTGTTTCACTGTATCGAATGTTTTATCCATCCACACTGTAAGAGGAGCCGTGCACAGTTTGCACACATTGCACAGCAGCAGTAACTTCATGAATTATATAAATCTTCTGATGTGACACTGATCTTAACCTGGACAGCAAACACATGAGGCTGTGACACAATCCACACTCTCCACAGTGAAACAGAGCAACCGTGTTACCATCACAGCTGTGGACACGTTTTCACCGTCAGTGACAGTCTGCTCTGGAGAACCACACAGTTTCCTGGCTTGGTGACTACTCGGGGTTTCAGCTTTGCTTCTTAAAACACAGCATCTGCACTATTGTCTTTATTGCAAGCACGAAACTTATCACTTAAGTCAACGAACACTAAGGCCACAGTGGTCTGTCAGTGGCTGCAGCTGCCTCAACTTGTGTTCATGAACAGGACTGTCAGTGTTTCCTGAACCAAAGAGTATGCAAAAAAAAAATAATAATAATAAAATAACCAAGTCTGAGGCTTCAGGCAGATTCCATGTCCGTTTACAAGGCCCCTCATCCAGACTCCTACTAGCTACATGTCTGACAGACCCAACAGGGGAGCTCAGTCTCTGGTCTGTCACCAAAACGGAGTAAAGTAAAGACTTGTAGGTACTTCTAGACAAAACATAATGCAGTAAAAGAATAGCACACCTGTTCATCTACAGCGCAAATCTCATCACAACATAAGTTTTGGCAAATTTTTATACAATGTACTTTATATATTGCTTTGTTGTTGTTGTTGTTTAAAAAAAAGAACCTTAGAAAACTTAGAAACACATGTGCGGTATTGCAGTAAAAATATACGCCGTTTCTTTCTCCGTTTATCCTTTTCCATCCGAAGCGAGACACTGACATCCCGTTTGTTTGGCGGCTCGTTGCTCTGAAATGAGGAGAAGCTGTTCTTACCGTTGCTGCACGTCTCGTTGTCCAGGTGCACATCTCGCATGATGTCGCCGTGTTGACACAACAACGGACTGTCCCGCGTCTCAAGAACAAAAACGGTTTGTCTAGAACCCAGATGACACTGGGTCCCCCCGCTACATCAGTCCCACTACAACAAAACTCCGCTCAGTGAAGTGATGCGTCCTTGTCCGGGACTCGGCCAGTAAACAGGTGAAGCGGCCCCGCCCGTGTGACTCAGCAGGTGCATCATCACGAGGCTCAACACCGGAAGTGCAGGTGGAGGAGAATGACTCGTCCAGGAATGAAAACAGAGACTCAAAATACCGTGAATCAAACCGTTTAAATGTCACATTGACAGCACAGAGAGAGAGCACCTTTTATCACCCTGTTCACCATCATAAGTTAATTTACTAGTTACTGATTTATATATTGAATAAAATACACAATAGATGACTAAATATAGACTACAGTAAATATTTGTAGGCCCTATATTTATTGGCTGTAAGGTGTTCATGGTGTACAGGCTGCAGACAGTATTCAGATCCTTCACTTGGTTATGTTGTCATTTTAAAGTGACAAAATGGACACCAGTCTGCACTCAGCAGCCCATAACCTTTAGACAATCTCTAGTTTAGAATTGTTTTAAAAATCAAAAGATGAAACCTCTAATTTAGCATGTTCCTATTCAGACAAGTTGTTGACTCTCCACACTGCAAAGCCCCATTTTATCCATTGAATGAATTTAATTTAATTTATAACACAATAAAGTACAAAAAGTGAAGGGATACTCTGCGGCCGATAGCCTCTGGTCTCTGCCATCCTGCACCTATTCACCTTACACTCAGTAATATAACACATTTGTAAATATTTATCCCACATTTAAGGACTTAAAGGTTTTCAGCTACTTCTTTAAACTTAACTATTTTAAAGCTACAGTTTGTAACTTTTTTTAAAATATTGTTGTTGTAGAAATCTGCTCCAAGATGTGTCCTAGCATGGAGAGGAGCTGTCGACACCTCCTGTGACCCAGACTCACCAAACAGCACTGGCAGCAGCGCAGACATCAGCTTCAGAAAGGTTTTGAGGGACTGACCTCTAATCAATTAGTTTCATTTATTGCTGTTTGATCAGTGAGTTTTGTTGTGGTCATTTCATAATAACAAATATCTGCAGACTTCCCACAGTCCAAAGACATGCAGCTTAAGTTGAATGGCGACTCTAAATTGTCTGTAGGAGTGAGTGTCTGTGTGTGGCTGTTTGTCTACATATCAGCCTTGTGATAGACTGGCAACCTTTACCTGGTGGACCACGCCTCTCATCCAGTGTCAGCTGGGACTGGCTGCAGCCCCCCCATGACCCTCTTCAGGAGTGAGCGGTAATGATAATGGATGGATGGAAATAACTGCAGAGCGTGGCAGGTCGTAGCAGAGCAGACTGGAGTGATGTGGAGTTGCGTGCTATGTTACTTTAAGTTATATACTGCAGCTTTAACTTACAACAGTAAACAGAGAAATAAAAAAGTCACCACATCAGTGAAGACACATCTCTTGCTGTTTTCTAATTTCACAAAATCTTTATTTTCTAGGAAAAACACTTTCATCCATTGCGCAGCGTTTTTCAGAGAGAGGGCAGCGCTGTGCTTTTCTGGTGGAGGTGGAGGTGGGGCCTTGGCCCTGCTGTTCAGTTGCAGTAGTTCTGCAGGTCAAAGATGTTGCAGGGCTTGTGGCAGCACTCCTCCACGATGCCTCGCTTCACCATTGTTTCCATCTGGTCCTTGAAGGTGAATTCAGCCACCTCATTCTCTCCGCCCGTTGCTGTAGCTCCGCCCACCTTTGGGGGCAGGAAACCTGATGGGACAGCACAACAGATCAGCATCATACTGAGGTGGTGGGTCAGCTGGTAGGGCTGTTGATGTCACAGTCAACATGCACTCAGTGGCCACTTGATTGTTAGATACACCTGTGCAAAGTACTCATCCTGCAGAACAGTCTGTGTCCCAGTAATGTCTCTGATAACACTGGATCATAGTGACTGATGCGTTACTGTGTTAATGCTGCAGCTGGTAAAGGTGGAGCTGATGTTAACTACCTTATATACTTATACTATGAAGTACTTTCCATCCTTCTGGGTAGCTGGTGGATTTCCCACCAGGATCAATAGAGTCTGATGATTCTACTGGGTTTGGTTTGATTCATCTGATTCTGGAAAGGAGCTGAAGTTATCAGGTACATGTAGTGCAGTAAAAAGTACACGGTTTGTCTCTGACACGGAGTGAAGATACAGTATGAAGTAGCAGGATGTGAAAATACTCAAGTAGAAATATCTCAAAATTGTACTGAAAAACAGTAGTTGAGTAAAAATATTCACTTACTTTCCACCACTGTTTATCACTGAGGTCATATTTTAGTACTATATTACTTTACATTTAAAAGTGATTTTGTGCTTTCCATTTAAATGCATAAGGGGGTCAGAATATTAGGTACACATACCAGTGCAGTACAAATCTATGTCTAATTACAAGCTCAATGTAAAATCATAGTTTTTTAAATTTACCCAGCAGAGGGTCAACGTCTCTTTTGGGGTTGTAGAAGAAGCCTCTGTCCCCACAGACCAGGTAGAGGGCGTCGACCAGGTGAGAGCCACACAGGTGCTGTGGGGGGCTGACGGCCTGGGAGCCTGGCCATGACACAACCAGTAAGACCAGTAGAGAGACAGACTGGAGCCATAGTGCTGCCATAGTGGAGGAGAGCTGAACACAAATATAAATATCTGTAGACACTATCTGTGATGGTACTGTAAAAAACTGTTTTAAACAACACATGAAAAACAGGAAAACAAGAAGAGGAGGTAGAAAATAGAGTGAGAAAGAAGAAGAGAGAAGAACAAATAGAGGAGGACATGGAAATGTATATAGAAGTATAGATAGAAGAGGAGTGGAGGAAGAGAAGCAGATGGGTTCGCCTGTGGAGTTAGAGGAGAAGAAAGGTGGAGGATGAGGAGGGGATGGAGGAGTAGTAGAAGAAGAGCAGCAGCTCACCTGTAGAGTCGTCAGAGGAGGAGGAGGTGAGTGTGATGTAGAGGAGGAGCAGCTGGGAAGTTGGCTGGTGTGAGACCGAACTGAGGATCTCCTCGCCACTTATACTCCATCACCTCCACCTGGCAACGCCCACTCTGTGTGAGGGCGCTGTATTACTCACATCGTGGGGACATATGTCTATTCATCATGTTGTGGGGACTCGACTTCCTTCTGGGGACAAAACGTTGTCTAAAGAGATGCAAACAGGACCATGAGTGTATGAGTGGACAAACAGATAACCTGCCAGTCAGCACACACGAAGTGACACCATTTACTTCTGATTGACTGGTTGCGGCACTTAGTAAAACAAACAGAGCTAATGAGCCGATATCATCTGATCACCTCTTTCTGACACACATTGGTGATCACCCATCAGCCTCCTGTTCCTCTGCTGAGCTCAGCAGCCCAGCGACCGACTTCCAGCAGCTGTAACCGATGTGTCAAATGACACTGTGACAATAAGTGGCTTTCCATCCAATCTGCATATAAAAAATAAGTAGTAGTATTCTCCAGTGGCTGAGGTGCAAAGTTAAAGATATGGATAAAACAAGTCCAGTGATAACAGAGTTAAATCAGGCAGACAATCTGTGATTTTTATTGACTATGTACAATGTGTTGCTTTGCTTCTGGGAGCCATTACCTTATCCATCTTTATATACTGTCATTGTCTCAGGAGCTAGACCACTGGTTGTTTCTGTGATTAACTGGGTACTGGGGATGTCTTCACACTGCACATCAAACAACTGATTGGAATGAAATTTGGCCCAGTTTTAAATTGATGTGATGTACTGTCCTGTATAATGGCCACACTGGAGCCGAGGACCCTTACATATGGTGAAGCTTTCATCAGAAATACTTTACTATCTGAGACTATACCAGGATCTTTGTCTAAAAAGAGCTATTGTTACAAATATCAGTGGGATTTTAAATTAAAATGTTTTGTTACAGGTGTCTATAGTCACCCAGTGAAGAAGGGCCTGACTACACAGAGACCCAACACACACACCAGACAAAGAGCATTTACTGTGTGTTAGACGTACGCTGACACAGCTCCTGTTGTAGCCTGTTTGTCACTTACAGGGAAATTCAACCGGCCGTGAAAGAGCATCACCATGACAGAGGATGTAACACAGAAAGTGTTTCTGAGAATTTCTCTGAATCTGAGTGAAGATGTCAAACCTACAAAACTCCCAGAAACCATCTGCTGCCACTCACTGGCAAAAGACTTTGTATTTGCCCTTTAACATTTTACATGTGAGAAGCAAAATTACATTGTAAGTACATTTATGTCATCTGCATATTGTAGTACTGTGAGCAGTATGTTAAACTTCTCCGCTGATATATTTTGTTCACAGCTCTTTCTTCTGCCAGCTGTGGAGCCATTGTTGACCTCTGAGCAGCTGCACATGAATTTAAACCATTTGTTTATAGTTTGTGCCACTTTTCATTTCATTTATTTACTTGAACTGACTTTTACCTTCCTTTCTTTTCTGTTTTAACTGAGTCAGTTTCCGGGTTGCAAGCGAGAGCGTACGTTTTTTCTGCTCCTCTTGTCTGTT